TCACTCTTTCATCTGTAATCATCTAAATTTGACCCTTAAGAGCTGATGCAGATCAGTCCCCATCACTTCACGAAAACCATAAGATGCAGAAGCAAAAAGTATCCAGAACATTCTCAGGTAAAGATCAATTGAGGGGCTGGCGCTGTGGTACAGCAGGTTAAAGCCCTGGCCTGCAGCACTGGCATCCCATATGGGCACCGGTTCAAGTCCCAGCTGTTCCACTTCCGATTCAGCTCTCTGCTTGTGGCCTGGGAAGGCAGTTTCTACTTGGGCCCCTGCACCCACGAGGGAGACCCAGAAGAAGCTCCTGGTTCCTGGCTTTGAATTGGCCTAGCTCCGGCCATTGCAGCCATTTGGCAGGTGAACCAGCAGACGGAAGACCTCTCTTTGTCTCCACTTCACTCTGTAACTCTTTCAGATAAATAAATCTTAAAAAAAAAAAAAAAAAAGAAGAAGAAGAAGAAGAAGATCAATTGCGCACAGGCATTTAACCTATGGTGACTCTGGATACCCCAGCAAAACAGTGAAGTTCTCTCTCTCTCTTGCTGTCTCATAAATTGTGAGACCAAAGGTAGTAAGAAAAGAGATAATTACAGCAAAACTTCAGAAGCTGAAAAATGGATGGATGAATGGTGACTGATTTATAGCAGACTTTTTTGAAAAGGCTGAATCTCAAGTAAGAAAATCCAAAAAACAAAACAAGAACTTTATACCACATACTACTGAAAATGGAGATACAGGAGGAACTCACATTAAAAACAGGAATCTAGGAAGCAATTTTATTCCTAAATTCTGGACACCCGCCAAAAGCTTCCCCACTGCAGAAAATCTGAGGTCTAGTTCTCGAAGGGCATAAAGCAGTTAAGGATCTGGTACCACACTGAAAAATGGTCCTGAGACCAAGCCTCCTCACCTAGCCTTTTCCCTGTCTCTCAGGACCCAGACACTTAGTGGTCCACACTCCACACTTGCCAGCAAAGTATGGACTTCTCCAGGGTCTCTGGCCAGCTCACAAGGAAAGATCTAAATATCCAAATTTTGGAGATAACCTCCAAAAAATAAAATCCAGTGATATGACAGTTTCCCCTTGTCCATGGGGTACAGGTTCCAAGACCCCCAGGAGACGCCTGAAGCCACAGATAGTAGCAAGCCGATACTGTTTTGAATTACGTATACATACTTCTGATGAAGTTTAATTTGTAAGTTAGGCACAGTATGATCTTTACAGACTCAATGTTTTTCTCTTCTTAAGAATCCTCACCTTTTCACCTACAGGAAGCAATTTTGGCTTCTCTTTGGCAAATCTAAATTACCAGCATCACTCACTCCTCTTGTGTTTTAGGGCCAAGTCAGTGTGCCTTGGCCACAAGCAATTCCGTTCTAGGACTGTCGCTTTCACAACTGGGACAGCTATGAACAACCGTCAGGCGAGTAGCACATACAGCACAGATATGATATAGGGAACAGAGTAGGCAGGAAGTTAGGGAAAAATGAGGTGGAAGACTTTTCTACACTTTCTGTCTCTAACCTTGCATCTTAATGCCACCTCCTTGCATGCCAATTCAGTACACCCACTTTCCCAAGAGGCACCCAGGTCTCCTCCCATAGCAGGGAGAAGGCGTTGTGATGAGCCTGCGTCAGCTGAGCTCCAGGTGGAGATACCATGAAGCACCTCATCTGTGTATTCGATTAAGGCTCCACCCCCTACCACATAAAGAGGACCGCTGGACACAGGGGTGGCCCTTTTGGGCCTTCTTTCATGCTCTCTCCTTGTGGGCAGCCCTCTCTTTCTCTTTGGCCCTCTAACAGCCAGTATCTCTCTTCATAGGGTTACCTACACTCACACCCGAGTGTATACTCACTCTCTCACTTTAAATAAACCTTGCCCTCATCACTACACTTTGCATATGTCTCTGCTTTGAATTCTTACCTCATATGGGGCAAGAGCCTGGAATAAAAACTGGGAAGCACATTCCTACAACAGATATACTGGACAAAGGGATGAGAGACATCCTGAGTGAACACAGCAGGACAGTGAGATCCATCATGCTACTCGGAACACTGTGGCATTTAAACTTATGAATTTATATTTCTGGAATCTTCCATTTAATATTTTTGGCCTACAGTTGACTACTAGTGAATCAAAGTGGACACCAAAGCTGCAGGTAAAGGGGGAATACTGTATTGTGAAATCAGCATTTGCCTAGTCTTTGTCTCTGGCCCCCGGGAGGCATCGCCAAATGCTTGGCATTTCCTAACTGATAAGTGGTTTTGTTGGTCATGGCAAGCCCCGGGACCACACCTGCAGTCTGTATTAATGAAAAGGCCCTAGATATTTTTATGCTACTGAGATGACTCAGGATGGGGGCTGGCCATGCCAGAAAGACCAATGTGATCAGAGACTTGGGGATTTTCAGGCAACCTCTAGGGAGGGGAGGAGGGCTGGAGACAGAGTGGCCAGTAATTCCATCAACTGTGCTTATACTGCAAAACCCCAAAACAAAGACGAAACAAAACAAAACAAAACAAAAAACAACAAAAAAAACCCCTGCACACTGGAATTTGAGGGAATTTCCCTGGTTGGCAGTCCTCTGCATATGGTCATATACTGATGTGCCTCAATGTCCCAGGAGAGTTGTGTGTCCTGTCTTCGCAGGGACAGGTCAGTGGAAACTGCACTTGGAACCCCACCAGATCTGACCTTACCTGTGTCTCTCTGTGGCTGGTTCAGACAACACTCTTATGCTGCATGTAATATAACTGCATACTTTCTGTGAATTCCGGCAGTTGTTCTAGGAAATTATTAAACACGAGGGGTATTTAGAACCTCCACGCGAACAGCCAGCTACGTGGAAGTGAGAATGAAATGTCCAAAATCGAGGCTGTTGCCCAAAGTGAGGGCAGTCTTGTCTGATATCAGAAGTCACTGTAAGCAGTCAACACACATCTATGGAAATGTCCCTGCCAGCCCCCAGCTCCCAGCCCCGACAGCTGCAGCCACCTGGGGAATGAACCAGCAGATGGAAGATCTCTCTCTCTCTCTAACTCTGTCTTTCAAATAAATAAGTAAATCTTTAATAATTTTTTGAAAAAAGATCTTTTCAAATATACAGGGACTTAAAACTCATTTTCACCTTTCTCAGAACCTACCAGAAGATCTATTCCCCTAACTTCAGTAGGTAACCAACGAAGAAGCTACAGAATTCTAGGGAATTTTTTTTTTTTTTTTAATTCTAGGAAACTGAATTTAACACAAGAAAACACACAGGAATCCCCAGGATGGTAGTACAGTAAAATCTACAATTCACTGCTGCAAACCTAAAAAGCAAAGGGTCTACAATAGAGTCAATCAGAAGCCCCTGGGAAAGCATCTTTAAGACAGGGAAAGTCTGGGCCGGCGCTGTGGCGTAGTGGGTAAAGTCATTGCCTGTGATACTGGCATCCCATATGGACACCAGTTCAAGTCCCAGCTGTTACACTTCCAATCTAGTATCCATGCTAATGGCTAATGGAAAAGCAATGGAAGATGGCCCAAGTACTTGGGACCCTGCCACCCAAGTCAAGTATAAGACCCGGAATGAAGTTGCTGGCTTTGGCCTGGCCTAATAGGCCACTGTACCCATCTGGAGAGTAAACAAATGGATGGAAGACTGACTTTTCTCTCTCTCTGGGTAAATCTAAGTTTAAGATCTAGATGAATTTCCTGGTTTTGGCCTGGCCCAACCCAGGCTGTTGTGGCCATCTGAAGAATGAACCAATGAACTGAAGACCTCTCTCTCTCTCTGTAACTATGACTTTCAAATAAATAATCTTTAAAAAGAGAGAAAGTCATGAAATACTTAATTTGTCTAAATATACTGAGAGGATATTTAAATAACTGTGGAGAGATGGGGTAGAAAACTAGACAGATAAATATTGATACATATTAACTCCAGGGGAAAAAATTCAACTGTACAGGAAAGGAAAAGTAAGCAGAATATATTCCATGGCTCAGTAATGAACACTTTTAACCTAATGATGATATTGCACATACTGAATATTATTCTAACCAAAATTATGAAGGGAAAATGTCAGGACAAGAGGGACCTGTATGTGCCAAGGCAGCCAGGAGATAAGCAGAATCCATTTTTGGGTGAAAAAGGGAGCTAACCTCACTGCACAGTGGGAAATTAACAGAGAATGCCTCTAAGGACAAAATCAAGAAGTAGCTCATGGAACATTTTAATTTAGATGCATAATAATCAAGCAAATGAGAGGAAAGACTTCAAAATGGGCTGCTGTGAGGAACAGGACTCTGAAGACTGCTGGGAGTGCAAGAATTGCCCTTTTAATGGTAAGAATCCATACATTTTAATTGATGATGTGTAACCTTTCATTGAATAAGCATTGAAATAAAAATATACATACACTCATGTACACATGCAGTTCCAGAAAGAACCAATTTTATCTGTTTTATTTTTCTTTGAAGTCTTAAAGGGAGAACATGGCATGCGTAAGGGACTTCAAACACAGCAGAACCCAGAACATAAAAGGGAGAATAGCAATAAACACTGGAGATCCAGGCAAATCCTACTTCTTGGGAATTAACAGATGCCCTACAATGATGACTGTTTTGGGACAATCAGGGAAATTCAAATAGAACCTAGGTATGATAATGGTCACTATTGTATTATACCAAAAAAGGTCATTTTTAAAGATTTTGATATGTTTAAGGAGCTATCTAACTAAAGAAAATCACAATTTCTATAATTTACTTTAAATATCCTTCAAACAGAAAATATGTTATAAAATTTTAATAAATGTAAAATCTGGGTGATGAATATGAGTGTTTAATCATATTATTTTTATTGTTCAGTGCATTTGAAAATTCTTACAATAAGAAGTCAACAAAATTACTTTTTAAAATTACTATGCAAAAAGGAATGAGTTCAATTCCACAAGACTACATTTACATGGGAAAGGCTGAAGAGTGGACCAGAACCACTCCACAGTTGTCTTACCATATCCTGCCATGGAAGCACCATTCTCGACATCCACCACGTTCTTATTTTCTTCTGCCAGAGCTTTAACGTATCTCTTGCTCAAGTCTAGTATTTGCTCACGTAACTTGACACTGCTCTGAGGTCTGGGCTGTTGAAAAGTATAGTGCAGCAGCATCAAGCCCCAAATGAGTCCAAATATCAGTAACAGTAAACTTAATTTCTGGGACATGTTTTTCCTTGAGATTGTAAAAAACATTTCTGATGAAACAGACTTGATTGAAAAGTGGGAACTGAAGACAAGAAAAAGGAAAGAAAGAAGAAAAAAATTTCCTCTAATATTGTATATTCTTCATCTTCAGCAAGGTTGTCTCCACTCTATTAACTCTGTAAAACTGAGAAGAAAAAGGCAATTACTCTCAACCTACATCACAGACAGAACAGACAAGGGTAAAGAAAAAAATTCTATATTTTTGATTTGGAATTATATCATCTTCTTTGACAATCTTCTCCTCCACCAAGAAAAAATTGACTTACTGATTCATCTTTTATTAGTTTCTGGTCTTTTCTCAGTTTCATTTATATATCTCTTCGAAATTTAAGCTAGAAATAAATGTCAATTTATAAAAAATATCTGAAAAAAATGCCACCATTGTCAAAAAAACTCTAAATGATTTCTTCTCATTATTTCTAACTAAAACCATGGACAAAGGAGATCCGAGTCTATTCAAATACAAGTCACATCACCAATTTAAATGCCGAGGAGCTATTCTTCCTCCTCCTCAAAATCAAAGTTAGACATGAGGAAAGATGAAACATTTTGGAAGATGAGAATGTCAGGAGGAGTTACTATAGGGGCCAATGTTGTAGCAGATTAAGCCAGCACTTGAGACAACAGCATCCCTCCCCTGTTAGAGCCCCAGCTGCTCTACTTCCCATCCAGCTCCCTCCTAATGCACTTGGGAAGACAGTGGAAGATGGTCAATGTAGTTGGGTCCCTGCCACCCATGTGGGAGACCAGGACAGAGTTCCTCATTCCTGCCTTTGGCCTGGCCCAGCCTCAGCTGTTGCAAGATTTTGGGGAGTGAACCAGTGGATGAAAGATATATCTCTGTTACTATGCCTTTCAAATAAATAAAATACATCTTAGAAACAAACAAAGAATTAGTATAATACAGATGGTCTGTGTCAACATTTGAAAATGTCATTAAAAGCTACTACTACTGGGAATGAGGTAACTTTATGGTTTAACCTAAGACAAAAAATAGGTTATAATCTCTAAGTTTTTATCTTATAAAGTATGCCACATATACATGAACAGTTATAATTCAATGACAATTGAAGAGGTTAGAATATTTTTCTGTATTTCCAAATTTATAATTCTGTATTTTAAATTACAAAGTTATATATCTGTATAATTCAGGGGAAAACTGAAAAATTAAACTTCAAAAAATTTTAAAAAGATAAAAATGATAATTATGGAATCTAGAAAGAGCTGAAGAGAGATCATGTCTATGAATCAAAGTGCCCAGTAAAGAACATTCTTTGATTACATCAAACAAAGCGAAATTCTTTCTCTTCTTAATTTTTATTTATTTCAGAGGCAGAGGACATGACTGAAAATAGTGCAGCATAAAGGTAACAATTCAGGGGCCAGCACTGTGGTGTAGTGGGTAAAGCCACCGCCTGCAGTGCTGGCATCCCATATATGGGTGCCAGTTCCAGATCTGGCTGCTCCACTTCAGATCCAGCTCTCTGCTCTGGCCTGGGAAAGCAGTAGAAGATGGCCAAGTCCTTGGGCCCTGTACCCACGTGGGAAACCCGGAAGAAGCTCCTGGCTCCTGGTTTCAGATCAGTGCAGCGCCAGCCTTTGTGGCCAACTGGGGAGTGAACCATCAGATGGAAGACCTCTCTCTCTCTCTCTGTGTAACTCCGACTTTTAGATAAAATAAATAAATCTTAAAAAAAAAGAAAAAGAAAAAGAAAACTCCCACTCTGTTGTCCAGCTACTCCCCAGTCCCTGATGCACCTCTACTAAATGCTGGGGCTCTGAGATTTGAACATCACTCACACACTGTTGTTGAAGTATACATATTCTACCAAACCTCATGATTAGTATGAAGAAACCATTAGCTGGGTATATTATTTACTGTAACAGAATAGTTGCATTAAAAACTAGCAATTAACTCCTCAAATTTCCTTCTAGATTTGCTTATTTCCTTAGTTATCATATACAGAATAAACCCTTTTAGTTCTTTAAGTTCTTTAAGCAAACAATACCATTAATAAATATCCATATTAGATTACTAAATTTTGATGTATTAGCAAAATCAGGTAAGCATATCCTAATATATTTTCTTTTTCTTTTTAATTTTGGCTATTTGAGAGATGGAGCTAGAAACAAGCCCCTATCTGCTGGTTCACACTCTCTCGCCTCCAAATTTCTGCAACATCCAAGGTTCGGCCAGGGCAGGAACCAGGAGGAACACAATCCAGGTCTCCCATTAGGAAGGCAGGAATCCAACTATCTGAACCATCACACACTGCCTCCCAGGATCTGCACCAGCAGGAAGCTGGAGTCAGGAGTCAAGAGGCAGAGCCAGGAGATAAACCCAGACCTCTGATGTTAGGATGCTGGCATCCTAACTGCTAGACTGAATGCCCACTCCCTAACACATTTTCCCTGAAAGTCTACACGCAATTTGAGTTCAGAAAATGGAATTCTAGATTTCCAAGCAAAACTTTTTATAGCTTTTTTTTTACATATTTAAATTTATTCTTCCTTCATATATCTTTACTGGCCCCTCCATCTCAAGTACGACCTGTATGTTGTACCACCTATCCCAGCACCCAGAGGAAGAAGGATCAGCTGGGACTGTCCTGAAGCAGTCACAACTGGCTTGGTTATAAGGTTGGCATGACAACAAAGCCAGCAAAGTGACATCACTGGAGAATAGAGGTCACAGAATCCAAAGTATTTTGGCAGATAAAGGTTAAAACGACAGCTTAGAAAGTTCTAATACCATATATATTCATATTTCTAATACTGTGTGTATTTGTGTACTTCCAAGACCAAAAGGAAGAACCTTAAAACCAGGGGTGAAGAAGCTACTGATGGAACAAGAACACAAGCCTCAGCCATCTTAGGTGCTTGTAACCCCTGCCTTCTTTCAAGAGACCAGTTCAGTCTCACATCCTGTACTGTTCCCTACCCCACCCCCTGCATTCTTCCTCAGGTTTGGAAGCAGGTGGCCCAAACTTGAAGAACCAGTATGGAGAAGCTCATCTCCACCTACTGCCCCCCACCCCCCACCCCTAGCCCAGCTAAGACATAAGAAGGCCCAGCCTGCTGGGGTCGGGGCCTCTGCCACGTGTGCAGTCTGTGAACATGATGGCAGTTCGTCGACCTCTGTAGATTTATTTTCTCTGAATAAATTCAGTCTGGCTGTGAGTTTGTATTCTGTCTCTTCTCTGTTCCATGCCTCTTTTTTTTTTTAACATTTTGGTGCCCTGTGTGAGGCGGGAGTGAAGAACTGGCATCTTGCCCAAACCAGCCACTCCTGCATTCTCTGGGTAAGAGCGGTGATCCCCCACCCTTCCTCTGACCTTTCTTCTCCTTCTGAACTTCTACTTTTTATGGTACCCCGTGTGAGCGGCACCAAATCTGCCCTCTTTTTCTTACAGGTACTTCATTTATAGGACAGCCAACCACCATTGCCACAATCATTGTCTGTACAGAAGATACTGTGAGCACCTATGTACATTAACTCATTTTATCCTTACAATCCCATGCTAATAATATGCTATCTCTTAATAGGTGAGAAAACTGAGGCAAAGCAGCAGGTTAATGCCCTGGCCTGAGTCCCAGCTGCTCCACTTCCCATCCAGCTTTCTGCAATGGCCTGGGAAAGCAGTTGAAGAAGGCCCAAGGCCTTGGGCCCCTGCACCTGCACCTGCACCTGCACCTGCACCTGCGTGGCAGACCCGGAAGAAGCTCCTGGCTACTGGCTTTGGATCAGCCCAGCTCCGGCGGTTGTGGTCATTTGGGGAGTGAACCAGTGGATGAAAAATCTCTCCGCATCTGTCTCTGCCTCTCTGTAACTCTACCTTTCAAACAAATAAATACATCTTTATAAAAGAGAGAGAGAGAGACAGAGACAGGTTTGCTTTTGGGAACAGCAAAGAGATAGAAGTCAGGAGCACTTAATCCCACTTCTACAGCAAGGAATTCCAAAAGGACAGCAAGGATAAAGTGGGTATGGAAGAAAGTACACCCCTGGGCCCTCTCCAAGTTAAACAATGGCACAAAGCCAGCTGGTGCCTGACAAAGGGCTGAGCAGTTCAAAAGCCCAGGAGAATTCCGTGGTGCAACCCAAGAAGGCCTGCAAACTGTTCTAACAGTTCATTTCCACAAGCAATTCCAAGCAAGGCCAGGAGAAGTAACTAAGATCTCACACACACACACACAGAGAAAGAGAGAGAGAGAAAGAGAGAGAGAGAGAGAGAGGGAGGGAGAGAGAGGAAGTGAGGGAGGGAGGGTAGAAGGGAGGAGAGAGAGAGAGAGACGGAGGGAGGGAGGGAGGGAGAGAGAGAGAGAGAGTTCTTCCATCTGCTGGTTCACTCCCCAGGTGGCTATGACTGCCAGGGCTAAGCCAGGCCCAAGCCAGGAGCCAGGAGTTTCATCCAGGTTTCCCACATGGGTGGCAGGGGCCCAAGCACTTGGGCCATCTCTTGCTGATTTCCCAGGTGTGTTAGCAGGGATTTGGATCAGAAGTGGAGAAATTGGGACTCGAACCTACATCCATAGTGGATGATGGCATCTCAGGCAGCGGCTTTACCTAGTTAAGTCACAACCCTGGCCCCAGCATAGTCCTTATTATAGAGTCCCTCTCCATCAAAACTGACTACAACTTTTAATCTTAACTTCTAGACCATTACATTGTCTACTAATCACTTAAAAAATAATCAACAAAACCTCAAATTCACCATAACAACTGTAGAGTTTTTAAGGCAAAAAATAAAACCCTCATCATTAATTACTGAATACTTTCAGGATTCCTAGGGGAAAGTTCTCATCCAACTATGGGAAACACAAAAGGAGTCTATAAGGCATAAAGGAGGATGAATTAAAGTGAAGAATTTGGGGCCAGTACTGTGGCTTAGTGGGTAAAGCTGCCGCCTGTGGTGCCGGCATCCCATATGGGTGCTGGTTTGTGTCCTGGCTGCTCTGCTTCTGATCTGGCTCTCCGCTGTGGCCTGGGAGGGCAGTGGAGGATGGTCCAGGTCCCTCGGCCCCTGCACCCATGTGGAGGGCCAGAGGAAACTCCTGGCTCCTGGCTTCGGATCGGTGTAGCTCCGGTCATTGCAGCCAACTGGGGAGTGGACCAGCAGATGGAGGATCTCTCTCTCTCTCTCTCTCTCCTCTCTCTATGTAACTCTGACTTTCAAATAGGTGAATAAATCTTAATAAATAAACAAAGTGAAGAATCTGGAGAGCACCATCACTCCAACTTGACTTCAACAGCTGCTACTCAGGTGACTTCCCAGTCTACTCTCCAAACTCCTTCAATTCACTCTCCTCAAAGCAGTGAAAATACTCTTAAAAACAAACGTCCGAGGGCCAGCCCTGGGATGCTGCCGGTTAAGCTGCTCACCCCATACTGGAGCACCAGTTTGAGCCCCAGCTGCTCTGCTTCCAATCCAACTCCCTGCTAATACACCTGGGAAAGCAGCAGAAGATGGCCCAAGTGCTGGGGGCCTACTACCCATGTGGGAGACCCGAATGGAGTTCCAGGTTCCTGGCTTCAGCCTAACCTAGTCCCAGCCCCTGTGGGACTTTAAAAAAAAATAAAAAAATCTTTTAAATCGTTAAAAAATCTTTTTAAAAAAGTCAATTGAAATAGATATTCTGACATTAAAAAAATGCTCAACATCACTACTCATTAGGGACATGCAAATTAAAGTCACTATACCATTTCACATCCATGAGGAAGACTACTAAAAACAAAGCAAGTGTTGGCAAGCATGTGAAGAAACTGAAACTCTTCTCCACTGCTGGTGGGAACACAAACAGGTGCAGCTGCTGAGGAAAACAGTATGGGACTCCTCAAAGAGTTAAGCACAAAATTACCTTCTAATCCAGAACTTCACTTCTGGGCATTTACACAAATGAATGGAAAGCAGGGACTCAGAGGGGTGTCTGTACGTCAGTATTCACTGAAGCGTTACTCACAGCATATACACATCCATAAAGAGTGATATCCATAACATAAAAGAGATGATCTGATCCACTCAGCAACATGGATGAACCCAGGAGACATATGCAAAGTGAAATAAGCCAGTCACAAGAGACCTATTATTGTATGACTCCACTCACATGGATCATCTAGAAAAGCAAAACCAGAGACAGAAAGTGGAAAGGTGGTTGTCAAGGGCTAAGAGGAGGGGAGAATGGACTTATGATTTCATGGGCGCAGAATCTCATGTTGGGATGATGAAAAAAAGTTCTGGAGATACGTGGTAGTGACAGATACACAACACTGGCATGTACTTAACATTACTGCTGAACTATACACTTAAAGATGGTTCAGGAGCTGGTGTTGTGGCATGGGTGGGTTAAGCTGCTCCCTGTGAACCTGGCATCCCATATGTCTGCAAGTTCAAGTCCCAGCTGTTCCACTTCAGATCCAGCTCCCTGATAACACCTGCGAAAACAGTAGAAGACGGCCCAAGTACTTGGACTCCAGGTTCCTGGCTTCAGCCTGGCCCAGCCCTGGACATTGAGGCCATCTGGGGAGCTCGCTCTAATTCCACCTTTCAAATAAATACACAAATCTTTTTTCAAAAAGAAAACGGTAAATTTTGCGATTGTTTTACTACACACATACACACACACACACACACACACACAAAATCGTATTGTTCTCCTGCTTTAAAACCCTCCGACAGTTGCCCACTGCACTCAGAATAACATCCAAACTTTTTATCACAGCCCACAAGGCTTGCCATCATCTCACTTCCACTCTGTGCTAATCTCACACCTCTTCTCTCTTGCTCACTACACCGTAGCCACACCAGGCAAAACACAAAGTTCTTCCTGACCTTAGGGCTGCAATATAATGTGGAATGCTCCTCCTGAGTCTTGTCTCTTCCCATCCTTTAGTTCTTAGCTCAAAGGGTAGCACTGCCATTCTTATCACCCCCGGCAGCCTCAAGGTACTCTCTCATTCTTCATACGAAATGACATACGTTATCTTTAAAACTTGAGCAAGTTATTCTATCACCCTGTGCCCTGATGTCCTCACTTACAAGTACTTAATGGAGACCAAAATACTTGCCTAATAGAGGTGAAGATTAAATGACATCTCATACTACTCAATAATATGAACATTAATATCAGTGTCAGGCACTCAGCAATAATACTACTAATTCTCGACAATTCAAATAACCCCCGTTAATGTGAGAATTTGTTTTGTTTTTAAAGATGTATTTATTTATTTGAAAATCAGAGCTACAGAGAAAGAATCTTCTATCTGCTGGCTCATTCCCAACATGGCCAGTAGCCAGGAGCTTCATCCGGGTCTCCTATGTGGATGGCAGGGGCCCAAGCACTTGGGCCATCGTCTGCTGCTTTTCCCAGGCCATTAGCAGGGAGCTGGATCAGAAGTGGAGCAGTCAGGATTCAAACCAGTGCCCTTATGGGATGCTGGCACTGCAGGAGGTAGCTTGACTCACTACACTACAACGCCAGCCCCAACGTGAGATGTTTTAACAGACCCAAATAAAACTCTTCTGATTAGCTCTCATGGGCCTCCATAATCCAGTCCCCAAAGACCAAATCGATTTCTCATTAATTACAAAAACACTTCCCCCAGTCAACCCAGTCTCTTTCTGCCTCACAGTCCAGTAGCAATTAAACCATACATTTCTGTATTTTTATTTACTCAGCTTGCTTCCTGACATCCTCTCATTCTATCAATAACAGCTCTAAAAGAGCATGCTGACCTGGAAAAGTTTCTACTCAGGATTTTGAATAGTAAGAAATATTTCATTGGTATTAAGTCACTGAAGAGTCACTCAACCCTAAAAGACAACACAGCAGCATATTTAAGACAGTTCACCTTCCAAGTAGCCTCCAAGGAGACTACGTGACAAACCTGCTAAAATGTCCCCTCAGCTGGAAGGCTTTCAAACTCTCACTGCCTTATTATGGCTTCATCAGTCAGCTTCTACTTCCCACAGCACAGTCCTTTGTACCAAATGATGTTAGACATCGCATTGTCCAATCCTGTGGGCGAGCCTTGTCTCCCTGATTAAGCCCCAGGTCCCTTCAGAGCAAAGAGAACATACCTTAAGAACAAGGCCATAAGCGCCACAGAGCCTGGTGAGCCATCAGCAGCCGTCGCAAAGTGCCTGACAGTCCCTCACATTTCAGATGAGGAAACTCAAGTCAGAGCAGGTGTCTTACCTAAAAGGAGACAACCAGTTAGTAACAAAGCCTGCGCAGCTCCAGAACTCAGGTCCTGACTCATTGTTTTTCTCTAAATACCACACTACCTGCCTTACCTCCACTAGAAAGACTGTATTTGTAAATGATGATTTATAATAGTAAATGAACTTTGGTTCCTTTTTCCTTAAAAAAAAAAAAAAAGAAAGAAAACAAAACAAAACATAACCGCGAGGTAGAGATGTACTACAGCAGTCAAGTCACTGCTGGGGATGCTGGCAACCCTTATGAGTGGCAGGTTCAAGTCCCAACTCTCCAGCTTCCAATATACTTTCCTACTGATACACACCCTGGGAGGCAGCAGGTGATGGCTCAAGTACTTGGGCCCCTGCCATCCAAGTGGGAGACCTGGACTGAGTTCCATACTCCTGAACCAGCCGATGGAAGATAGCTCCATGTTATCTCTCTGCACGCCTCTGACCCCCACCCCTGCCACTGCATTTCAAACAAAACTTAAAAAAAATGTAAAAGAATAAAAATTAATATATATATAAAACAAAAAAAGCCATGGCAGTCTAGGGAAATGATGCTAAAACCCTACTTATTAAATTAAATTACCAAGTTGGCCAATTAAAATTCCAAATATGCTTTACTCACATAAACCAAAAGATTACAAAGTTCAAACTATTTTAGTGTTTTTTTTTTTAAGGCAAAAACAAGAACAGAAAAAGAAACGAAGCAAAACAGAGATAAACACAGGGTCTCCCGCGGGCAGAGGCATTTCCAGAAGTGCACGCGAGCCCAGGCTGAAACACAACCTCACCACCTGCAGCTTCATTCAGGCACAAAAGAGCCGGACTTATTCTGCCATATGTTCATTCGTCTATTCACGGTATTTATGAAAGCACCCACTATGTGCCAGGAACTGAAAGTGTGAAAGGTGAAGCCAGCCAGCCAGCCAGACAGGGTCATGTTCTTCCAGAGACTGCTCTAGTCTCACCAGGACAATATGCAAGCAAAGAAAAAAGATACTTTCAGCTCCTGACAAAAGTGCTGTGAGGAAAAACAGCAGGTGACCCTTCGCTGGGGTCAAGGAAGCTCTCAGAGGAAGTGGTAGTTGATTTGACAAAGGAGAGGAAATGCACAGTCTGGTTCCAATTTACTTCCAACAAGAGCCTGGAGAATTGTTTCCTGACCAGAATCCTGGGCGCAGGCAGTAAATTCCGTACTCCTGTTCTCCACAGCACAAACACAGGAGAATGAGAAGTCCCCAGCCCCGGCATGGAATGACCTGGGCTGCAGAAACTGCCCAAAATGAACAGAAAGAAACCCACAAGCAAAGAAAAACTTCATGTTCCCCTTCCTTATGAGAACGGCAGCTCACTGTGTGGTAACAGGAACAGCTGTGATGCCATACAGCGGTCTTCTCACAGAAAAACACAGTGCTACTGGCATTTCCTAATATAAAGAGGGCAGTGGGAGAAGGAAGCATGGACAAAAATAATCTAGGTATCAACCTGCCAGTGCATTAAATTAAAACTGTTACTGGGGCCGGCGCTGTGGCCTAGCAGGTAAAGCCACCACCTGCAGTGCTGGCATCCCATATGGTTGCCGGCTGTTCCACTTCTGATTCAGCTCTCTGCTATGGCCTGGAAAGCAGTGGAAGATGGCCCAAAGCCTTGGGCCCCTGTACCCACATGGGAGACCCGGAAGAAGCTCCCAGCTCCTGGCTTTGGATCGGCTCAGCTCCAGCCATTTCGGCCATCTAGGGAGTGAAGCAGATCCAGCCATTTCGGCCATCTGGGGAGTGAACCAGCGGATGGAAGACCTCTCTCCTTCTCTCGCCTCTGCCTCTCTGTATCTCTGCTTTTCAGATAAATAAATCTAAAACAAACAAACAAAAACAAAAACTTATTATAACCAATTTTTAAATACAATCTTTTCAGGCTCCAAAATATTCCTTGTTAAGGAACACAAAAATAGAAAACAGACATGAGTAAACTTTTCTCTACATTTTTATACTTATTACCGGTCTCATTGTCTCCACTCCATTTTACAAGATCTTTGGGCAGAAGTGCTGCTCAAAGCTCGGTTACTGCACTTGCCCAACACACCACACAGACAACCAGATATTTAGGCAATGTTTCAGTGGTTTCCCCCAGCCACCCTAAAGACGGCTATGAGTCCAATATTATCACCAGAGAAAAGACAACGAACCAGCAAATATTTAAACTACAGCACCTTCATGACAAAGATAAGGAAACTGACCCGAAGCCAACATCAAATGGGGGAATTAGGCGTCTGCACTTTCTGCCCAGGACACCAGAGTTTTTCAAAAGCAGGAAGCAAAAATCAATGTAACATTTTGCAACTAGCACTTTTTCAGAAAAACAAGATATGGGACAGGCATTGTGGCACAGCAGGCTAAGCCACAACTTGGAAGGCATGTATCCCATATCAAAGTGTAAGTGCTGGGCCTGGTTCCTCTGCTTCTGATCCAGCTCCCTGCAAATGTGCCTGGGAAGCAGGGGAAGATGGCCCAAGTGCTTGGGTTTCTGCCACCCACATGGGAGTCCTGGATAGAGTTCCGGGTTCCTGGCTGCAGCCTGACCCAGCCCTGGCTGTTGTGGACATCTGGGGATGAATGAGGGAATGAAAGATCAATTTCTCTCTCTCTCTCTTGCTCTGCCTTTCAAATAAATAAAAACAAACAAGCATTTAAAAAATAAAAACAAGATGAAAGAGAAACTAGAATATACATACTACATATTTTGTCAAACTTTTCTTTCAGTTTATTTACTGACTTATTTTTACACAGACACATGCACAGATAGTCACAAATCTATAGCGACTTCATATAAATCTCTTGCATCTCATGACACCTATCATGAAGTAGTTCCTTTTATTTTTATGCAAATATTACAGAGCATCATTGGAAACATTAATAGATGGCTAATCCTATTTTTTTTAAAGATTTATTTATTTATTCAAAAGTCAGAGTTACACAGAGAGAGGAGAGGCAGGAGAGAGAGAGGTCTTCCACCTGCTGGTTCACTCCCCAATTGGCCACAATGGCCATAGCTGTGCTGATCTGAAGCCAGGAGCCAGGAGCTTTCTCCAGGTCTCCCACATGGGTGCAGGGGTCCAAGCCATCTTCTACTGCTTTCCCAGGCCATAGCAGACAGCTGGATTGGAAGTGGAGCAGCCAGGACTCGAATTGGCGCCCATATGATAAGCCGGCACTGCAGGCAGCAGCCCTATCTGCTACCCCACAGCACCCGCCCCTAATCCTATCTTAAAATCTCTGCTTCAGATGCAATTTTTGCATTTATCCAGTGCCCTGCTTTCTGTGCTGCTATGACTTACAGCTCAAAGTAGCTATCGACAGCAGCAGCAGCAGCAGCAGCAGCAGCTGGCGAACACAGATGCCCTCATTCAGCCAAAGGTGGTACAAGAACCACTGCCTGCAAGTCTCCAAAGGACTTTCAGGCAGAGACACATCTAGTTACCACAAAAAGACACAGCACATTCACCACAGCCAAGAGGGTCAGACACTCCTCTCCAAAAACTGACTCAGAAATGGGTCCTCCACACACTGGACCCTGGAATGCAGTTTCAGGGGGAAGACTCATTCCTAAAATACTTTTCTCTGCATACTATTGCCTGAGGCTAATATCCACCAGGAAAATATTAACATAGCACATAGCCATCTACTCCGTAATCAGGTACATGATTTAAGATGTGCTGCTTTGAGAGGAGCCACACTGAAATTCCAGCTAAGATACAGAAATAAGAATCTCAAGAGACCGGGTCATTTCTAGATGGCATATTTGGGAGAAGACAAGAACACTGGACGGTTACAAAAATAGCTAAAAGAAAAGGGATAAAGGAAGGCAGGAATAGAAACAGAAAATGTTACACAGAAGGAACACTTCCTGGGTTCGGGTTCCAGCTCTGGCTCCTGACTCCAGCTTCCTGCCAGTGCAGACCTGGGAGGCAGCAGGGGTGGCCCAGGCACTTAGGCTCCAACCTACAACCCACAGAGGAGACCTGCACTGTGTTTTGGCTCCTGTCTGGCTCCTGCCCAGCCTGGTTCTTACAGACATTTGGGTAGTGAACCAACAGATAGGACCTCTGTCTTTCTACCTCTCAAATACTTTACAAATTTAATAAACAAGTGTATCTAAAATATATTATGCAGTCTTAGACACTTTAATGAGAGAGCCTGATCTGCCCACAGCCTCAACCAATCACACTTTGTGCCACATGACCCCACCTCTCCCTCCACAGCCAACTAGGCCAGCCCGGGGGCACCCTAGCCAGGGGTCTCCTACAAAGGGAGATCAGGGAAATGCGGGCAGCCGGCAGGAGCAGCTGAGGGAGGATTCGCAGAGAGCAACCATAAAGATGGGTATAGGGAATTGACAGACTGGAGTGAGGAAGAGGCAGACGGAACAGGCCTGCGGGCTCAGAGCAGAAGAAAGATCAGAGCAGGGAGAGGGAGAACCAAGAAAGCAGTGCGGTTCTCTGGGGTGAAGCCAGTGACTGCCTCTCTCCTGTGCCTGTTTCTCCTCCGGGGAGTTTGAGAGACCTGCATGACCTGGGGCAGGAAAAAACCCCTGCGGCACAAAGAGATGACTAGAAGGGTTAACACCAATTACTTCTCCGCATTGCAAAGAATCTCTAAAAGCCCTTATCACTCAAAGTCTGAGCTCGGCAAGTCCTTGGAATCAGACCAGCTCACTGGTAAGGAGATAAGGAGACTGAGGACTGAAAGCAACTTCAGGTTACAGGAACAAAGGTCGCCCGCCTCTGGGTCTGGATCGGGAGTTTTCTGTCCTGCACAGAAGCCTTGGCCTCAAGGCCAGTATCTCGGCCACACATTTCACAGCGAATCACAAGCCTTCACAGCAACCTCCTCTCCCAGTGTAACTACGTTTCCCACATACTCTGGCTCTGCTATCCTATAAAACACACTCTTTAGATTTCTCCTTTTCTTCCTCACATGCATTTCTTAAAAAGTCATCTGTCACTAAAGACACTGACTACATCAATCCACCAAGCCCACTGCGTTCCCCTCTATAACCAACCGCACCTTTAAAAGCTGCATTGATTCGGGGCATGTTATTTCACTTGTCCAGGACAGTTTCCTAACCCAAAGCAGTACGGAGCAGACATTTTTAATGAAAAGTACATGTCCATTCAGGACCATAAAGATTTCATCGAAGAAAAGCTCATCGCCCAAAATCAAAGAGAAAAAAAAAAAACAACACTGCAAACAACCCAAGCTGAGCAGGGCTCCCGGGAGATTTCGCAAGCCATTCCTTAGCGGGTTCCCACGTGTCAGGAGAGCGCAGCTTGAAAACAAACCCCCAAAGGGAAAAAAGGACGATCCAGGGAGAAAATGCAGGGAGAGGCAGAAAAAAAGTTGGCACGGGTGGAGATGGGGCCGCCGCAGGTGCAGGTCTGCAGCACACCCAGGTGCTGGTGCGACAGATGGACACGCGGCCGCGGCCAGGGGCCAGGGAGGTGAGCCCGACCTTGCCCAGATTCCCGAAGGCTGATCCGCAGAAGAGCGGAGTCATCAATTTCCTAAGAACATTCTCAGCCATCTTACAGCGGCGCCAGGGACGACGGCGGCGTCGGCTGAAGCCTTCTCTGCGGCCGCTCCAGGGCAGCGAAGTAGCGGGGTGCTGACGATCAGACAGGACACACCAAGCCCCCGAGTCCCCAGGCCACGCCAAGTCCCGGGCAGCGCAGCCCCCTCCCGGGGAAGAAGCCGCGGGGCAGGCGCACGCTGCCGAATCCCAACTCGCGGGCGAGCGTCGCTGCGTCCGGTCCACCCGCGGAGAAGTCGGGCCGCTCCGAGCGCCCCGCAGCCCCGGCGGGGAGTTCTCCAAGGGCCGTGAGGAGGGGGCCCCGTGGCGCCCCCAGCCTCGGCGGCCGGAGCCGAGCTGTCAACAACAGAAGTGAGCGCGGCTGCCGCAGTCGCGGCCGAGCCCGCCCCGCTTGCACCCGGGTCTCGGCCCCCGGCGGTCGGGGCCGCGGCTGTCAGAGCCGGAGAGGCAGGGATGAGGGCCGGCCGCGGTCGGGGGCAGCCGGGCCATCCTGGAGCCCAGACCTCCCGCGTGCCCCCTCCTCACTACCTGGCCAGTGGGCTTCCCGTCACGGACGCCGCCGCCGCCGGGTTCCCGAACCGGGGCAGCTCAGCGAGAGCCGATGCGTCAGCCGCGTCCCGCACTCGCGAGGCCGGGATGCAGGAAGGCCGGGGCTGGGCAGTCAGGACGAGGGTGGCTCCCAGCGCACGGAGATTGTACTCCTCGCGTCCCTCGCACTCGGCTTCCGCTCCGCCTCCCGGCCCGGCCTCACCCCCACCGCGCGGCCGGCCGCTCGGGCGCGCGGCATTGTGGGGGTTGTAGTCCGGCGGCGGGGACCAGGTGGCACGTGCCCCCGGCCGCACCTCCCGGGCCCGCGCCGCGCCGTTGCGCGGCAACCGCCGAGGCTCGGAGACCCGGGGAGCACCGCGAGGCGGCGGCGGGGAGCGCCGGGCGGAACTGGCCTCCGAAAGCCCAGGAGTTGAGGCCTCCTGACCCAGCGGCGATCAAAGGCGCTGCCCACGAGAAGGCCCGTTTTTGCGACTGAAGAGCCTCAGCCAGTGGAGTAAGGCAAGAAAAATAAAAGCTCTGCAGATGAAATAGGAGGAAGCCACACATATCTTGAGTATTATAATTACGTATGTGGCAAATCCAAAATAATCTACAGCTACATTGTATCGATTAATACGTTTAACAAGCTTAAACGAATACAGCGTCTTTGAAAATCAGTATTTAAAGGTCGGAGTTGGCGAACTCAAGAGCCTTACATAGCCTTGGCAGCTCATGACAAGAGCCTCAGGTGATCACTGACCTCATAAATAAGAGTGTTAATTGTTAAATCAACAATGGGAGTCATTGTGCACTTGCTCCCCGTGTAGGTCCTCTGTCCTTAATGTGTTGTACTATGCAAATTAAAGGTAAAACTACTACTCAAACAGTACTCTATACTTTGTGTATCTGTGTGGGTGCAAACTGTTGAAATTTTTACTTAGTGTATACTAAGTTGATCTGTATATAAAGATCATTGAAAATGAATCTCGATGAAGAATGGGATTGGAGAGGGAGTGGGAGATGGGATGGTTTGCGGGTGGGAGGGAGGTTATGGGGAGAAAAACTGCTGTAATCCAAAAGTTGTACTTTTGAAATTTATATTTATTAAATAAAAGTTTTCTAAAAAAAAAAAAGTCAGTATTTATTTCTGTATGCCAGGAAAGAAACAGCTGTTTAAAAATGTATCATTTGGCCAGCCTCCTGGCTCACTAGGCTAATCCTCTGCCTAGCGGCGCCGGCACCCCAGGTTCTAGTCCCGGTCGGGGCACCGGATTCTGTCCCAGTTGCCCCTCTTCCAGGCCAGCTCTCTGCTGTGGCCCGGGAAGGCAGTGGAGGTTGGCCCAAGTGCTTGGGCCCTGCACCCGCATGGGAGACCAGGAGAAGCACCTGGCTCCTGGCTTCAGATCAGCGCAGCGCGCGGGGCGTGGCGGCCATTTGGGGGGTGAACTAACAGAAAGGAAGCCCTTTCTATCTCTCTCTCTCACTAACTCTGCCTGTCAAACAAACAAACAAAAAAAACCCCACGTATCATTTACCATAGCTCCAAACAGGTATCAAGTACCTTGGAATACATAAAAGAAGTGCAAACTCCATATGAAGAAAACACTGAAAGACATTTAAGAAGACAAAAAATAAGTAAGATGGCAGTATGCTCACAGCTGCTAGGATTCCAAACTGAAAGATGCCAAGTGTCTGAATTTATCTACAGACCCCGAACAATCCCAGACAAATCTCCTTAGGGGTGTGTGTGTCTGTGTGCAGGTCTGCCTGTCATAGACTAGACAGCTAATTTAAAATGCTACGGAAATGCTACGGAACACAGGGCCATTGTTGTGGCATAGCAGGTTAAGCCTTTGCCTGTGCTGCTGGCATCCCATATGGGCGATGATTGCAGAGCGGCTGCTCCACTCGGATCCAGCTCTCTGCTATGGCCTGGGAAAGCAGCAGAAGATGGTCCAAAGGTTCAGCTCCTGCACTCACATGGGAGACTCCAGGGAGACTCTGGGCTCCTGGCTTCTGCCTGACCCACCCACTGTGACCATTTGAGGAGTGAACCAGTGGATGGAAAATAAGTCTCTCTATCTCCCCCTTTCTTTCTCTGTAATTCTGCCTCTCAAATAAATACATCTTTTTAAAAAAGAGTTAAAAGGCAAGGCTCAAAGTTCAAAAACAACTACAACTCAAAGTTCAATTACAACACATATAACCAAGAAAGGTCTTGTATTCAGGGTACATAAAGAGGTGCAGGGGCAGGTGCTGTGGCGCAGTGGGTTAAAGCCCTGGCCTGAAGCACCGGCATCCCATATGGGCGCCGGTTCTAGTCCCGGCTGCTTCTCTTCCAATCCAGCTCTCTGCTGTGGCCCAGGAGTGCAGTAGAAGATGGCCCAAGTCATCCATGTGGGAGACCCAGAAGAAGCTCCTGGCTCCTGACTTCAGATCAGCTCAGCTCCAGCCATTGCGGCCATCTCGGGAGTGAACCAGCAGATAGAAGACCTCTCTCTCTGTCTCTACCTCTCTCTGTAACTCTATCTTTCAAATTAATAAAAATAAATCTTAAAAAAAAAAAGAGATGCAATCATAAGGAAAACATCTTCCTTCACCCAGGAAGAAACCAAAATAACCAGTAAATACATGAGCGTTAACTTCATGTAAGCCTCATGTAAAAACAGGGAAATTCAAACCACAATGAGAGAGTCCTACCACTCACCAGAATAGCTAAAGTAAAAAAGGCTGGTAATTACAAATGTTGGCCAGAAGTGGAGCAATGGGAATTCTCATACTCTACTATAGGGAGAATAAATTAACATAGAAATATGGAAAAAAGGATAAGCAACCATTTTTACACTACAATATAAATGAATCCTAAAAACAATGTTAAGGAAAAGTATCACAAAAGCACATATAGTATGTTATTACATCTTTTTTTTTTTAAAAAAGATTATTTATTTGAAAGGCAGAGTTACAGAGAGGGAGAGGCAGAGAGAGAGAGAGAGAGAGAGAGAGAGAGAGGTCTTCTATCGGTTGGTTCACTCCTCAGATGGCCACAATGGCCGGAGCCGAGATGATCCGAAGCCAGGAGCCAGGAGTTTCTTCTGGGTCTCCCATGTGGGTGCAGAGGCCCAAGGACTTGGGTCATCTTTCACTTTTTTCCCAGACCACAGCAGGGAGCTGGAACAGAAGAGAGCAGCCAGGACTATGCTGGCACTGCAGGTGGCAGCTTTACCTGCTGTGCCACAGTGCTGGCCCTGTCATTACATCTTTATAAGGTTCAAAATACAGGAAAAAAGAATAAGTACTTACTTAAAAAATCTTTTCAAAAAACTATGAAGAAAAGTAATGAGAGAGCCCTATGTGACTAGAATTTAGATTGGGAAGAGATGGTGGGAATTCTACAAATCTATGTCTTGGTTTGGGTGGTATTTACACAGTCGTGGGCTTTAAAAAAATTTATTTGACTGGTAGAGTTATAAACAGTGAGAGAGAGAGAGACAGAGAGAAAGGTCTTCCTTCCATTGGTTCACTCGCCAAATGGCCTCCACGGCCGGCGCTATGCTGATCCGAAGCCAGGAGCCAGGTGCTTCTCCTGGTCTCCTATGCGGGTGCAGGGCCCAAGCACCTGGGCCATCCTCCACTGCCTTTCTGGGCCACAGCAGAGAGCTGGACTGGGAGAGGGGCAGCTGGGACTAGAACCCAGCGCCCATATGGGATACTGGAGCTGCAGGCGGAGGATTAACCAAGTGAGCCACGGTGCTGGCCCCACAGTCGTGGGCTTTATAATAATTCATTAGCTACTATAATACCTAGTATTCGTTAGGATATGTATTGTTATGTGCTATGTTTCCCAATTTAAAAATGAAAGAGCATGATCTAAGGGCTGCTTGTCTTCTTGAGATTCTAGACTCCACAACCTTGGGTGAGCTCCATGATGTCTCTAACCCTCAGTTCAGTGATGAGAATACCTCATAAGGATATTGTAAAAATTAAAATGAGAATAGGAGGGCCCAGCTTTGTTGCTTGGCCACTACAGTCGCTACCTGCAATGCTGGGATCCTGTATGGGTGCCTGTTCCAGTCAAGGCTGTTCCACTTCTGATCCGGCTCCATGTTAACGTGCCTGGGAAAGTAGAAGATGGCCCAAGTGCTTGAGTCCCTGTACCCATGTGGGAGACCAAATGAAGCTCCTGGCTCCTGGCTTCTGCCTGGCCCAGCCCTGGCTGTTGAGGCCATTTGGGGAGTGAACCAGTGGATGGAAGATCTCTTTCTGTCATTCCCATTCTATAATTCTGCCTTTCAAATGAATAAATAAATCTTTTCAAAAAATAAAGAAAATGAGAATAGGAGGGGCTGGTGTTGTTGCACAGTAGGTTAAGCTTCTGCTTCTAACAGAAACATCTCTTATTTGAGTGCCTGTTTGAGTCCTGGCTGTTCTGCTTCTGATTCATCTTCTTGCTAATGTGCCTGGGAAAGCAGCAGAAAATATCCCAAGTGTTTGGGCCCCTGCACCCACGTGAGAGACCAAGATGGAGTTCCAGGCACCTGGTTTCAGTCTGGACCAGCCCCTGCCATTTTGGCCATTGAGGAGTGAACCAGCTGATGGAAGACCAATCTCTCTCTCCCTCTCTCTTGCTCCATATGTCATTCTATGGGATAAATAAATAAATAAATAAATCTTTAAAAAATAAAACGAGAGGGTTTTTTTCCTCTCTTGGAAGCCCCCCTCTATGCTGCTCTGGCTGGAGGTCTTTGACTCTAATAAATGTATGTAAATCTCAAAAAAATTTAATAAAATGAGAATAGGAGTGGATGTGTAAAGGCTTTTTTTTTTTTCAGTGCTTGCTTATCATATGGCAAGCCCTGAGGGTATATTAGCTATTCTTATTATGACCACATTAAAGTGTTACCGACACAGAAGCAAGTAAGTCATGATATGGTACGGCAGAGCGTATGAGGAGAACTGTATACAAACAGCCACATGGCGTCTGCCTTATGGGAGAAGCATCCAGTGGGAGAGCTCTGCATGGTAAGCAGGCACAAAGGGAAAAAACAAGAGAGGCCATGTGCATAAAACATGGGCCGATCTGGGGAAGATTACCTCTTATACAGTCATCACAAGATATGTGGCTTTTTTTTTAAGATTTATTTATTTGAAAGGCAGAGTTACAGCGTGGGGGTGAGGGGAGATCTTTCATCATTGGTTCACTCCCCAAGTAGCCGCAATGGCCAGAGCTAACCCAATCCAAAGCCAGGAGCCAGGAGCTTCTTCTGGGTCTCCCACATGGGGGCAGGGGCCCAGGGACTCGGGTCATCTTCTACTGCTTTCCCAGGTGTATAAACAGGGAGCTGGATTGGAAGTGGAGCAGCCGAGACTCGAACCGGCATCCATATGGGATGCTGGTGCTGCAGGTGGTGGCTTTACCCGCTATGTCACAGTGCCAGCCCCAACATTTGGCTTTTGAGAACTTGTAGTGCTAATCTGAATCAAGAGTTGCCATCTCTGTCACATACAAACCAAATGTCGAACATTTATTACCAAGAATGTTAACTATCTCTAAAGGTTTTTAGATATTGATTGTGTGTTTAACTGATAATATTTTTATATATTCAATTAAATACATTATTAAAATTAAGTCATCTGGAACCTGGGGTTGGTTTTTTATTTTTATGTTTTTAAGTATGAATGATCACAAGCAAAAATAAAATTAGATATTTCGTTGTTTGTAAAGCTAACATAGGAGCACATGACTTGGAGGGTAAGGGATAGAATTTCATGCAGTGCTTAACAGCAGGGGTCTCTTCTGAGAACCACACAGCAAGGCAATGTCACTGTGTAAATGCCACAGGGGTGCACTTACACAAACCTGTGTGGTAGGGGTCACTCAGTGACCTCTGGGAAGCCATCAAAGACACAATAAACACAAGACACACGAGGTTGCTGCTGGTAGAACATGCACACTGCTTTACAGTCAGCCCTTTTTATAGGTACAAAGAATACAGTTTAGGGGGCCGGCGCTGTGGCACAGTGGTACAGTGGGTTAAATCTCTGGTCTGCAGCACTAGCATCCCATATGGGTGCCGGTTCGAGTCCTGGCTGCTCCACTTCCAATCAGCTTTCTGCTTTGGCCTGGGAAAGCAGTGGAAAATGGTCCAAGTCCTTGGGTCTCTATACCCACGTGGGAGACCCTGAGGAAGTTCCTGGCTCTGGGCCACGGATCAGCTCAGCTCTGGCTATTGTGGCCATTTGGAGAGTGAACCAGCGGATGGAAGACCTTTCTCTCTGGCTCTACCTCTCTCTGTAACTCTGTCTTTCAAATACATAAAATAAATATTTTTTTTTAAAAATTGTATGTGATGTACAATTATAAAAAATACAGTGTAAGTAGCGATACAAAAGTATAGGGTAGTGAATACATAAACTGGTAATATGGTCATTTATTATCATTCTCAAGTATTATGTGCCATACACAACTGTGTGGGATATTTTTTTTTAACAGGCAGAGTGGACAGTGAGAGAGAGAGACAGAGAGAAAGGTCTTCCTTTGCCATTGGTTCACTCTTCAATGGCCGCTGCAGCTGGCGTGCTGCAGCGGGTGCATCGCACTGGTCCGAAGGCAGGAGCCAGGTGCTTCTCCTGGTCTCCCATGGGGTGCAGGGCCCAAGCACTTGGGCCATCCTCCACTGCACTCCCTGGCCACAGCAGAGAGCTGGCCTGGAAGAGGGGCAACCGGGACAGAATCTGGCGCCCCAACCGGGGCTAGAACCCGGTGTGCCAGTGCCGCAGGTGGAGGATTAACCAATTGAGCCGGGATATTCTTTATTTGACTGGTAGCACAGCAGGTTAGTTTACACCAGCATCACCACAAACCCATGGGAAGCATGCTCCAATGACAGCTACATCACTAGGCTACAGGCAGTTTTCATTCTATTACAATCTTAGGGGACCACTGTCTCATATGCAGTCTGTCATGGACCAAAATGTCCTTATGCAGAGCATGGCTACACAATCCTGCTACAGACACAAGAGAAAGTAAAATAGGTAGGCGAGACCAAGAACTTGCAGGGTTGTAAATGGCAAACTAAGCAACTTCTACTTAATTTGAGAAGTCTTGCCAGGTATTAAGGTGGGGCAGTGCTTCTGTATTGGTCTGTAAGAGCCTGTTTTGTTACCTAATATTCAGGAATGTTTTATTTTATGTTGGTTAGGTTTATTTAATTATTCTACATATTATTCACAAATTATAGCATCACTTTGTGCCCCCAAAATATATACAAATATAATTGTCAATTTACAATAAATCAATAAGTAAAAGGAGACTGAGAAGAGTAGGAAACTACTTTGGATTGCTTTTTCAACACTCACAGTTCTTTGGTGATTGTAACCAAAGTATAGAAAAGTAAGAAATTATAGGTAGGAAAAGTAAACCTCCCAACACAACCAGACATTGTCCACAAAGAGGCTACTTCAGCATCCTGGTGCTGTCATCCTTCATTGTTTTTCCTTTTAATAAGACTGATGATCAAATTCTCATTCCCACAAAAAGTTCAGGTTTTTTCCAATACATAGAAATTCCTGACACACATCACTTCTCCCTTCATGTAACCACACCAATAGCCTTAATGGGAGGACAGAGGAAGAGAAACAAGAATTGCCTCTAATCTATTTCACTCTGTGCTAATATAAACATGAAAATTACAGATTTTCTGCAAATCTCCCCAAGGCTATCTTTGTTAGCCCTGTCCCTTGCTCCTATTTATAACCTAACCATTAAGTTCATCTTTTGCTAAAACTGCTTTTGTATATTTGACTTGGTACCTAAGTGAGTTTGTTTAAATATTTTATAGACAATTACCATATCTTGCTTTTTCCTCTTACTTCCTGTTAGGAACCACTTGGACACAAGAGACTACGGAGATGACATTGAAGATTGGCACTCTTATTCATGACGTCAGCAATCACCTGAGGCTCTTGCCATGAGCTGTCTGGGCTATGGAAGCCCCTTGAGTTCACCAACTTTGAACTTGTTTAGTCAAGGCCGTATCACAGTGGAGGTTCCTTTCTCCCTTTGGAGAAAGGCACCTCCCTACCTAATATTCATGAATGTTAAACCTACTTCTTGTGTTAGACTGTAATTGCTTTTTGGATTTTTGGCTAAGATCAAGTTTAGTATCTATTCTTATTGGTTTAATATATGATATGTCCTCTGTCCTGTATTAGCTTGTATTACATCTATTGCAAACACTGACAGGAGCCCTCGACAAATATATGATCAGAGCCGGTGCCGCGGCTCACTAGGCTAATCCTCCGCCTTGCAGCGCTGGCACACCGGGTTCTAGTCCTGGTCGGGGCGCCGGATTCTGTCCCAGTTGCCCCTCTTCCAGGCCAGCTCTCTGCTGTGGCCAGGGAGTGCAGTGGAGGATGGCCCAAATGCTTGGGCCCTGTACCCCATGGGAGACCAGGAGAAGCACCTGGCTCCTGGCTTTGGATCAGCGTGGTGTGCTGGCTGCGGCGGCCATTGGAGGAAGGAAGACCTTTCTCTCTTTCTCTCTCTCACTGTCCACTCTGCCTGTAAAAAAAAAAATATATATATATATATATATATGATCATAGAATGAATTGTCTTACTTGTCCAGCACACTAGTGCCAGGGCACTGCATATACCAAAATGTTCATAGAAAATGGAATTAAAAGTTAAGTTTAGGAGCAGCCATTTGGCATAGCAGCTAGGATGCCACCTGGGAAATCCATCTCAGAATGCCTGGGTTCAAGTCCCAGCTCCACTTCTGATCTAGCTTCCTGTTAATGCATCCTGGGAGGCAGCTGGTGATGACTCAAGTACGTGAGTCCCTGCCAACCATGTGGAAGACCCAAGCTGAGTTCCAGTCTCCTGGCTTCAGCCTCACCCAGCTCAGTGCCATCTGTTGCAGGTACCTAGGGAGTGAACCAATAGATAGAGAATCTCTCTGTCTATCTCTGTCTCTCTGCCTTTCAAATAAATAAAAATATTTCTTTCTTTTTTTCTTTTTATAAAAAAATATGCTTTTAGGGGCTGGCGCTGTGGCAAAGAAGGCTAAGCCTCTGCTTGCGGTGCTGGCATCCCATATGGGTGCTGGTTCATGTCCCTGCTGCTCTGTTAGGTGGGAAGTTAGAAGTTAGCCTATGTGTGTGTGTGTGTGAGGGGGGCCTGAGAGGAATGCAACAGCATCTGCAGAAGCTCACCTTGGAAGCAGCCCAGTATTTACACTGCAAAGTCCCGCCCAAACCCTGGTAACTTTCCCCCAAGGAAAGCCCCCCCCCAATCCTCTCTCCTCACCCCTGCCTGGCCTGATAACATGGAGCAATAAAACCCTCACAGCCTTCCTCCAAGGCAGGCACCCTAGGGGAAGTGCCTCTGCCCGCCCACGTGGGCTCTCCAGCCTAATAGCACTGAATAGTAAACCTGGGAGGAATTTTTTTTTGTCCAGGATGGGAAAGAGGCAGGGGAAAAACTGGACCCAGGCGGCCATTGGAGGGTGAACCAACGGCAAAAGGAAGACCTTTCTCTCTGTCTCTCTCTCTCACTGTCCACTCTGCCTGTCAAAAAAAACAAACAAACAAACAAACAAAAAAAAACAAACACAAAAAACAGTCTGAACAAAGACCGCACGCTCAGCTCTCAGCTCTCTGCTGAGCTGCCTGCCTCAGGTGTACTCTCCAGGTGTACTCTCTCCTTTTAACCACGTAACCTTGCTTTCCCAGTTTGAGTAACTGGGCACTCTCTCTAGATTTTGGCCCCTCCTTCCATCCCTCTGTTCCTTTCCTATTTTTGGTTGTTTTTTTTTTTGACAGGCAGAGTGGACAGTGAGAGAGAGAGACAAAGAGAAAGGTCTTCCTTTGCCATTGGTTCACCCTCCAATGGCCTCCGCACCGCGCTGATCTGAAGGCAGGAGCCAGATACTTATCCTGGTCTCCCATGGGTGCAGGGCCCAAGCACTTGGGCCATCCTCCACTGCACTCCCTGGCTACAGCAGAGAGCTGGCCTGGAAGAGGAGCAACCGGGACAGAATCTGGCGCCCTGACCAGGACTAGAACCCGGTGTGCTGGCGCCGCAAGGCGGAGGATTAGCCTAGTGAGCTGCGGCTCCGGCCCCCATCCTCTCTGATGGATGCTGTACCCCAATAAACCTTGCTACCTTGCTCTCTGTCTCACGCCTGAATTCTTTCTTATGAGAAGACAAGAACCCTACTATGATCTCCACTAACATTTCCACTTCCAATCCAGCTCTCCGCTAATGGCCTGGGAAAGCAGTGGAGGATGGCCCAAGTGCTTGGCCCCTGCATTCACATGGGAGACCCAGAAGACGTTCCTGGCTCCTGGCTTTGGATGGACCCTACTCCAGCCACTGCAGTCATTTGGGGAGTGAACCAGTAGATGGAAGACCTCTCTCTCTGTCTCTCCCTCTGACTGTAATTTTGCCTCTCAAATAAATACATAAATTTAAAAAATTTATTTTTAAAGTTAATTTTATTTTGGTGCAACGATATTTTAAATTCGTGCACAGGTTTCCATAATGCACAAAAAGAACTTTTTGAAGGCCCTTCATACTTAATAATCACTGTTTGACTCTGACAGAGGTTTCTCTGGTTTATCTAAAGCTACTTTCTTAGAGAAAGGTCTTCCTTCCATTGGTTCACTCCCCAAATGGCTGCCACAGCCAGCGTTGCACCGATCCGAAGCCAGGATCCTGGTCTTCTATGCGGGTGCAGGGTCCTTGGGCCATCCTCCACTGCCCTCCCAGGCCACAGCAGATAGCTGGACTGGAAAAGGAGCAACCGGGACTAGAACCGGCACCCATATGGGATGCCGGCACTGCAGGCGGAGGATTAACCAAGTGAGCCATGTCGCCGGCCCCTCTAAAGCTAGTTTCAAGCTTTCCTATCACCTCCGTGCTAGCCCACATCTTGGTAGACAAAGAGCAAGTTAATTTGAAGGTTCTCAAGAGATTACAATCATAATAATAATTGGGATTACTTTTTACAGCACTTTCAACTTGGAAACCATTTACTTGGGAGTGGGATGTATTGCCATACGCCTCCCACTCACCTGTCAAGGGAGAGCTAGAATCAAAGATGTAATCAGCTGCTCAAGTGTGTTTAACCAGAGTGGAAGCCGTGCCTTTCCAGACCAAAGGGAAAAACCACAGCCACACAGCACCAGGCTCCACAGAGGTCAGGGTCATCTTCCTCAGCAACACAGAAAGGGAGAATGGGGTGGGCACTGCAGTGCAGCTAGTTAAGTTACCTCTTAGGATGTCCCTATCCCACATAGGAGTAGCTGGCTTGAATCCTGGCTGTTCCACTTGCAATCTAATTTCCTACTAATGTGCCTGGGAGGCTGATGGGCCAAGTACTTGGGTCATTGCCGTCCATGTGGGAGACCAGATGGAGTTCTTGGCTACTGGTTTCAGCAGAGCCAAACCCTGGTTGTTGTGGGCACTTGGGATGTGAACCAGTGGACAGAAGATCTCTCTCTCTCTCTCTCTCTGCCTGTCAATTAAATTGATAAATGAATTTTTAAAAGAGGAGGAGAGGTAGCCGGAAGGCTAGAAAATCAAGCGAACAAGAAAAATAGCCAGGGGTGAGCTTTTGGCTTAGTGGTTATGAGACCATTTGGGATGCCTGCATCCCACAACAGTGAGCTTGGGTTTGAGTCCTGGTCTAGTCCCAGTTGCAGCTTCCTGCTAGTGCGCATGCTGAGAGGCAACAGGTGATGCCTCAAGCACTTGGGTCCCTGCCCCCAACATAGAAGATCTTGATTAAGTTCCAACAGGCATTCGGGGAGTGACCAGCAGATGGGCAGTCTGTCTCTCTATTTACCTTTCATTTCTTTTCTTTTTTTTATATTTATTTATTTATTTGAAAGTCAGAGTTACACACAGAGAGAAAGAGAAGCAGAGAGAGTGTGTGTGTGTGTGAGAGAGAGAGAGAGAGAGGTCTTTCATCTGCTGGTTCACTCCCCAGTTAGCCACAATGGCTGGAGCTGCACCAATCCGGAGCCAGGAGCCAGGAGCCAGGAGCCAGGAGCCAGGAGCCAGGAGCCAGGAGCTTCCTCCGGGTCTCCCACGTGGGTGCAGGGGCCAAGGACTTGGGCCATCTTCTACTGCTTTCCCAGGCCATAGCAGAAAGCTGGATAGGAAGTGGAGCTGCTGGGTCTTGAACCAGCACCTATATGGGATGCCAGTGCTTCAGGCCAGGGCGTTAACCCGCTGCGCCACAGCGCCAGCCCCTCTATCTGCCTTTCAAAGAAATTAAGTATATTTTTAAAACCAAAGAAAGAAAAAGACATTGCTGAGGTCAATCATGTGATCTCTGAGGAAAAGCATTAGAAACTGAACAGGGAGGAGGAGATGGGGTTGGAGGGCCTGCTTCCATTCTTGTTTCTGAGGCTAAACAGGATGCCCAGGCCGGAAGTAGTGCTGAGACTTTGAAAAGAACTCAGGATTAAGCTCGGGGGAGATGGTGGCTCTTTCCTGAGAGCCTGAAGTGGTGGCATAACAGTAGAAGAGACAGACAAGTGAGGAGTGTGCTGAGCCTCTGTACAGGCCACCACTGCTGGGAAGGCCCGGGTCTGGAAGTGCTGTCCATGGGGGTGGGAGGGTGTCTGACCCTGCACAGACAGTCCCATTTTTCCACATCACAGTTCAAAGGGTTTGGTGGGGAGCAGTCTGACCTGCTTGGGGAAGAGGAGGCCTGACCTACCCCTTTTTGGGGGATTTCAGAGTGTAGGAAGGGTCTGAAACCACAAAAGCAGTTCCTGAACTATGAAGGTGTAATAGAGAGTTTGGATCAAAACAGGTATTAGGTATTTTAACTCTCTGTCCCCTGTGCTGGGAACTCTTCTTATATTTCTCCAATTTAAACATGGGTTTTCCTTATCAAAAGCCAAGTCCTACTCATTAAATCTCCCAGACATAAGTTTAAAAAGGCAACAATGAACATTTAAGTCATCAAGAACGTAATGGCCATTAAACTTCCTAGGAGACTCAGGGTCATGCTCACACACTGAGAGATGGATTTTTATCAAACAGAAGGCACAATATAGTGACTTTCCCTGGTAACTTGTCTGACTAGAAAAATTACCTACATCGTGTTTATCTTCGTAAAATGCAAAACCACCCCCATGTAAGTAAATGAAGTGATAAATGCCATCTCATTCAAAACTCTTTATTGTCCTTCTTTTCCTTGCACAAGGGGCTCAGTTTAGATATTAAAGCCTCTATGAGGACAGCATCGTTGCACAGGCTGCAATGCTGGCATCTCATAAGAGCACCAGTTCAAGTCTCGGTGGC